GCTACACAAGAAGTGAAGACCAGCTAGCTGATATCTTCACCAAAGGAGCAAGCAACAAGGTCTGTGAGTCCATCCACCCGAGGCTAGGACTCATAGACTTGTCCAGATCATAATCCTCCTAAGCCATGGAGCTTCTACTCTTTCCTTCTTATGTTTTTGTCCCAAATGGGTTTTGCATATTAAGGTTTTAATGAGGGAAGTCTTCATGGGGTCCAAGCTTGACTTGTTTCACATGGTCAAGCTTGAGGGGGAGTATTGACATGAAGCAATATCAAGGCAAAGAGAACATTCAGAAGCATAAAGGAGCATTTGGTCGTGATGACTTGAGATACAAGGATATCCGTACACTCTTGGCTTACAAGGCACCTCATTAGGTCGAGAGTGAACTTGGAAGACAAGGAGGATTAATTTAAACAATTCTGATGGTACATAGTGGAGAAGAGATCCGTTGGAGAGTGATGACAAGAGATTCAAGTCGACCAGATTTTAAATAAGGTTTCCTCCCTCTCTCCTTGGAACCGTTGAAGACAAGTCACTATCACTCTTCAGACCTTGTGAAGACCACCATAATTAATTCATATTCTGATTGTCTTGTTTAGTCTTAAGTTGCCTTTATATACTCATTGTACACAACCTAAATCAAGCAAGGAAATAAACTCCTTCTTTATACTCTCTCTCTCTCTCTCTCTCGCAAACTAATCTCTCTCTCCCGGATGTATTCATCTCTCTCTCTCTTGTTCTTGAGTCAAATTCATCTTTTCTTACAATTTGTTCTTCCCTTAAAACTCCAAACAGTGGATCATCTCTTTTAATGAACTCCACTGCTACCTCCTTCTCCTCTAAGATCCTTTGTCTTCTCTCCGCAGCCAAATCTTGCCTCTTTCTTACTAAAATTGGGCACCTTTCTTTCTCATGATTAAGATGTTGACACTCATGGCACCTCTTTTGAATTCTCTCATAGTTAAAGTAGACAATGGTCGAACCTCCTTCTGGTAGATTCACGACCTTAGACTTCCTCAAAGGCCTTGAGACATCGAATCGAACCAAGACCCTTACAAACTCCTGACACTGTGGCTTGTCCGGATCAAAAGCCACCTCTATTGTTTTCCCAACTAGGCCACCTAAGGCAGTGATCGCTTCTTCCGTATAATAGTTGATCGGAATATTACGTATCTGAACCCATATCGGGATAAACTGTAGATAGTCTGGCGGCGGATTTTCCACCCATCGATCGGTAGCCAACGTCCAGTCATTAAAGGTATGAACACCTTTCTCTAGTATTTCTACTAGATCATGCTCATGATTAAAGATAAACTGGAACCGCTCCTTTGACAACGCCACACCTCTCACTTTCCCTCGTTTTTTCCACTTTCGAGGCATGTCCGGTATCAAACTAGACATCTTCTGGCACTCTGGATAAGATTCTTCCAATTAGACTTCTTGAATTTCTTTCACACGACTTGAATTGCGGTAAATCCGGCATGTTGAACGGCTTATCTTCTTCTTCAAGCGATAGTTCCATCATCGCTTTATCCATAGCAAAAGACATCTTGATTATCAGCTTGAAGTTTATAGATTTTCTTCTTCCACCGACTGAGCTGATGAACAAACCTTATAAAACTTTGAAGATTGATCTGAAAAAGTACTTTTTTTTAACGAAGCGGTGAGTTAAGAGTCACTGGCGTTACAACCAGAGCTCCACTCACAAAAGAAAGATTCCTTTTCGCGAGAGAGAAACTTAGCCCAAAAAAGGGAAGCTCATTAATTTCTATCTTTTATTCTAAATATATTTAAATTTTGATTAGTTTTCTTATTTTTATTTAAGTCCATTGTTGTTTTAGATATGTAAATATATTTTAGTAAGATTATGTATAACATAATATATATTGTGCTTAGAATGAAATAAAAAAATAACCTGAAGTGTTTGATAATTACATAACGATAATATTGTTTGAGTCATTATGTAATTTATATGTATAAAAATAAATAAACTATTATAAAATTATATTTCTTGTTATAGTTAGATCTTTGATTATGGGTATAAGTAGTCGAGTCATTCATGTCGTGAGTATATTGAGTTACATATTCTTTCAAATTTAAATTGAAGTATAAATTAATTATTTTTTATTCTATTTAAATCAAATCAAATTTTTATATTTATCATTTAATGGTGCATACATTTTCATAACATTTATCAAAAATTATGTTTATTTTTTTAAAAATAAAGTACTGATCAATTGGAAGCTATATACATAAATATAATTGATTATTTTTTGGAAGGTAAACTGAATATTATTTGATAAATTTTAATTATGCCTTAGATTTATTGAAAGGCAAACTGAAAAATATTTTAAATAAACTTAAAAATGAGAATTCAGATTTGCTTGGCTATTTTGATTATGGTATATTAAATTCCAAAAGAGTAAAAGAAACATAAAATGAAAAAGCAAACTAAATATGAAGAAGACTAATTTTTAATAATGATAAAATATAATATATCTAGCTCAATAAAAATTTATAGTGTAATGGTACTTAAAAAGATTTTGTAATTATTTGATCACTTATCATAAAAAAACAAATAGTTTTCTTTTTAATATCTCTTAAAGTAAGCACTATCATGTGTTTTTGATTGCCGTCCAGCTTGTCATGTTTGGTGCTTTCAAAAATACCATCAAATCCAATCATTTTACCGGCTAGTTCCCTCTTCACAAATATGAATTATATTTTTGGAGAGTACTCCTGTAAATGGATGATCATCAATTTGCTTGGATACTATGGTATATTTGGAAAGGTAAGAATAACAAAGTTTTTTGTAACAAAGTCAAGCCCAACGTCCCAAAGTACAGACGGTGCATCTGCGGCATGGATTGGAGGAAGGGGTTGGGGTTGGAAGGGAATGATAGTCCCTATGGAGGATATAGATTACTTCACAGAAATTAGTAATCCATAGATAATGAATAATCAGTAGCCGGCCAACAAAATTACTGGCTACTTCTCTCAATCTATTAGCCAGACATGAAATTTCTTACCTCCAGGCGGTCCTTAGGTTCCATTTTCTGTCACTTCATTCTGAAAAGAATCAACCATCTCATCATCATCATCAAGTTGAATGATCTCCATTCTTTGGACTACTCCATACCCTGTCTGAGATTGCCTTGTCTTATCAGCATGAGCCATCTCCAGAGCAACACGGTGGATTATAACCATGTCTTCCTCTCCAAATATATCTGTGAGAACACTCGCACTGAGAAGATGTCTCTCACCCAACACCAAGCCTGAAATATCCATATTTAATATCATTATCAACCTATGAGAATAAAAATAATGTATCAAAATACAACCTTGTAAACGTGACTTACCCTCGTATCTTGCTCTGGCTATATCATCCTGACCATCTCCAACCACATAGGTCGAGAATCCTATGCTGAAATCAGAACGAGTGAGGAACTGAAACTCTGCAACACTCTTTGCACCTATAGTACATAGGAGTGTTGAGTCAATTAGCGGTGGTCTCTGGCTTATCAAGTCGACAAGGTCCGATGTCGAAGCAATGGTTCTCGGTGCGGAAGGTCCGCTGGATAGGAGCATCCAGCTAGGCATGCCGTAGGTTATCAGAACATGAGTTACCGGAGTGAGCATGTAGTATTCTCGAAGTGTAGAATCGATCACTGGGAAAGTTTCAGGAGAATCCATGTACATTGTGAAACCGTAGTCTTCATGGTTTAGCACAAAGTACCACTGATCTTGAGCGTTCTTCTTCCAATCACCACGCCATATTCTGAAAACACGACCCATTCCTGCCCAAAAAAAAATTAGGTTTAACCAACCGCAATAACTGTTGGAATCTTCACTAGAAAAAGATGGAACAAATGCTCGACAAGTTTAATAACTACAAACATCAACGGGATCTACTAAGAGTCTCATCTATTAAATACATTCTCTACATTTAAAGCTAGGTAAGAATCTTCATTACCTTTGACAAAAGCTCTCTTAGATTTAACATATTCGGAGAATTATCCTTTCCACAAAATCGACTGTATTTTCCTGGAAAAAGCAGATACCGTCTAAGTCTGCTATATAAACGCTCAGGGAAACTGAAAAGTTTTTAATTTTTATTTTCTCTAAAACCTAATAAAATCTGAGCGTTATCTTTAGGTAGATTTCGTCTACGGGTACGCCGTTTGGGTCAGATATTTTCTGTAGCAGGGGAAATTTTACTTTACCGATGCAACTTGCGATAATGTAAACAAAATCTTTTTATTATCTATCCAAATCTAACACTGATCTTGTGTCAAGGAGTGGGTAAATCCGGGAAGGCTTGAGGTTGTGCGGGCAGGGTATATTGGTCTTTCTAGTATCTCCTCCGTTGCCACGTACGCCCATGTTGACATCATTTTGGTATTCTGCTAATATCGACCTTTTCCTATGGTTTGTAGCTAAATTGCTCATAAATTAATAGCTAACAGAATAATGACTTATTTTTGAGTTACAAATCATATTGATAAGAACTGATAAGAACTGTGTGTCTAACTATTTTCATTTATCAGAATTATTTAATTGAAAATTGTTCATAATCTTTTTTAACTTTCTAGGAGCTGTAATTTATATATATCATAATATGAAACTTATTATTATTTATTAAGTATGAACACTATTACTAATATTGTTATATTTTTGACATGCTATAATATATTTCTAGTTTTTAAAAATGAATTTTAATTTTTGATAGACATTTTTAAAATAAAGATTTTAGATATTTTATTTATTTTTGTTATTTTATTAATTTTTAAAGTATAAATGGTATCTTTCATATTTCATTAAACTTTTATCAATAACAATATAAAATTGATTAGGATTTTAATCAATTATGAATGTAATTTCATTTTTAACATTCACATCCAGATCATATAAATGTAATTTCATTTTAAACATTCACATACAGATCATATATATCTAAATATATTAAATGGTTTGTAGATCAAGGTTTTCATCTAAAATTTATTAAAATCTAAAAGTATGAATTATGTGACAAATAAATCAATACTTGAGACTTAAAGTATATATAAAGATTATCGCAAAGTAACAAATCTATATATATATATATATATATATAATGGTTTGTAGATCAAGGTTTTCATCTAAAATTTATTAAAATCTAAAGTATGAATTATGTGACAAATAAATCAATACTTGAGACTAAAGTATATATAAAGATTATCGCAAAGTAACAAAACTATATATATATATATATATATATATGTGTGTGTGTGTGTGTGTGTGTGTGGATTCTCATTAGTTTAATAAAATTTCTAATAATATTTCCATGTAAGATTTAGTTTCTATTAATTTTTACATTAATATGCATTCAAAGTAATAGTGTTCGTATTTAATAAAGAATAAGAAGTTTCATATTATGATATATATAAATTCCAGCTCGTAGAAAGTTAAAACACATTATGAAAAAAATTCAATTAAATGATTCTAATAACTGAAAACAGTTAGACACACAATTCTTATCAATGTGATTTGTTAGTCAAAAACACATGATTATTCTGTTAGCTACTAAATTATTTTGTTTTTAGTTATCTTTATCACATGCAAAAGAAAGTTTGTTTTATAAAGTTTCTTAAACAGATTGTTTTTAAATATGTATAAAATAATTTATTCGTTTTTACAATCATATAGTTCTTACGGATTTGTTGATTAAAACGTAACTTCAATTTATTTTTTTTGATATCTGAAATTAGTTGAAAATTTACTTTAAAACTAAATTATATATACATATTTTTGTATGTCATCTATGCAATACACAACTAATGAAAGTTATTAATTACTAACTATTCATGTATTTTTTCTAAAATGATATAAATTTTTTTGAAAAAACATCAACCAATCAAATTAAAATAATTATTGAAGAAATATCTTATGATAGTCAACTATTAAAACTAAAAATTATGTTAATTCATTTAAATTTAAGATGTTTGATTGTTTATTCGATAATATAAATGATTTTAGGTACTTTTTATGATTAATTTCCTTTTAAAAATTTGAATTAAATAAATGAAAATTCAAATACCAATAACCAATCAAATTAAAAAAATTAATTATAAATTTTATATATGAGTGACACATGAATTAAAATCAATAAAATGACTTCTCGAATACGTAGTAGGATTAGGCTATTTATCCAAATAAAACACAAAATTCACTAAAACTAAAACTCTTAACTCTATCTCCCCGATATTTTCTTTTCTTATCTTTCTTTTCTCTTTCTCATTTTCTTTGCTTATTTGGGTGCTTCTACAAAAAGAAAAAAAACAATGAGAATAAAATTAAAAACAGATGTAGAAGACATCGATTTTTGAACCACAGGTCTCTCTCCAGAGTCCAGGCATAACAATTAGGGTCATTCAGTTTCTTAAAAATATATTTAAAACACACACAAAATAGGTAATTTACTTGAGTAATAAATAAGTAATCATAAAAGACCAGCCTCCAATAGGTTTCTCCTTCTTAGTGTCTCATCTACAAGCTTGAATGTTTTCTTCACAAGCTTCTGATCCAACGCCGTCGTCCTGTAGATCTTAAAAACCCTGTCCACTCGATCCGGCGCAGTGTTCTGGTAATATAATTCCTCAAATTTCTTCTTCACAAACCTTTAATTGTGTCGAAAATCACAAGGTCAGAAGAGAATACGGTATAACTTTGCAAGCTGTCAGTAATATGAAAACAAGCTTACTCGTATGCATGCTCGATCTCTTGTTTCCCACTCGAAACTGGTTGGTAATCTCTGAACCACTCGCAAACATTCAATGGAACCTTTAAACATCGAATAAAAAGCGTTTGTTAAAACCAAAAGTCTTGCTTGCATATCTACGCAATTAAGAATATGATTCAGCTCTTACATCAAGAACCTTCTTCTCAAATATGTCAAACTTGTTGAGGAATAGCATGATGGATGTTTTCTGCATAAGAGAACAAAGTCTTTGCTACAAGTCTCTTGAAAGTTTAAACCAATAAGATAAAGAAAGGGTCAAAAACCTCGAAACAGGGCTGTTTCAAGACCCAGTCGAATAATTCTTTGGTCTCCATCATCCTGTTTTTCTGCTCGTCCTCAAATAGTGTTTGGTCGTACCTATGACCGAAAAAACTATGTTGTGAGTTCTGCAGCAAAAATATAAAATTTAATTTATAAAGAAATGGAGCTTACTCGCTGATGGCAGCACAGAATATCACAGCAGTTACACCTTCAAACAGATGAATCCATTTCCTTCTCTCATTTCTCTGTCCACCCACGTCAAATAATCGGTACACTTCACCACTTTTCTTATTTTCTCCCACGGGGCTGCATAAATCAGGGGTTAGTCTCATACACCATTTGTAAATCTGTGAAGTACATTCAGGATAACAAGAAGTTTGATACCGGTTTAAAATGTTAATCATATGAACCAAACTGCCAAACACTTTTGTTCAACTTACCAAAGAGTTCACATTACAGCTAAAGTCAACTACAAATTGCCTAGGCTAATCAATCATAATGCTCGTGAACCAGAGTTAAAACTGAGGTCTTATCAGAAAATTTATCATCAATTTAAGCAAGACGTGAACTTGCATAAAAATGCCAATCAAACATGCACAAGAGTTAATACTAAGTTGCTGGCACCTGAACTGTATTTCCACGACACCAGTTGTGCGAACTCTCGCATACAGAATATCCTCCTGAAACACCAACACATCACAGAAAATCATATATAATATGATTAACTAGGCTGATAGGAAAAGCTTACAGATACCATTTTAATCTACACAATGATAATTCAGTTATAGTCTTATAGGTACCTTGGTTGGAATATAGTTCACATCTGCCAGTCTCTTCAAGTTCTCCATCAGATATTTCGTACAATCGGGAACTTGAAGCTCATTACCACGAGAACATGTTTCCTACAAAATGAAATATGGCGAGACTCACAAACTTGGAATACCAAGATGAAGTAAACGTGCACACACACACAAACACAAACACACCTGGATTGCAGGATCCTTCCATAGTGTTTCTATTCCCTCGGCGAGGTCCTTGGTAAGACGCGGATAATCTAACCTCCCACCAATTTCAGAAAGTTTCTCCCCAGTGGCCTGATAATAGCATAATAAGGTGACTAGTATAACTTAATGTATTTGATTGGAAATCTAACAAAAAAACAGCTCAGTGACCACTTCTACCATATTTTCAGAGGATAACGTATATTTTGCAGGATCAGTTTCATTTTGAGCAAACTCCTTTGTTCCGTCATGCAATAACTGTTCAACGATAGAGAGAATGGCTATTAAGCTACATGTACAGAATATGAATATCAACACTGTATCTTACATGTCTTTGAAAGTATTACATACTTTTATAGTCTGATAGACATTGGCATGGATGACCGGAACGTAGCTCTTTAGTTCTCCTTCATCAAATCCAGTTTGGAAGAGAAGTTTTATCTGCAAGTTAGCAGTAAACTTGTCTCCTTCAATAAAAGCAAGTTGTAAATAGTTGTAAGTGTAGCCTACACCAAACAAGTTTCCTTGTCACTTGCCTGCTTAAAGATAGTAGATTTCCCAGATTCTCCCGCACCTTTACAAAGATAAGTCAGTTAGAAGAAATTCATAAGAAATCGAAAATCGAAAACAGTAGAAAAAAAAAAATAACACTGACATTAAGATCTGCACAGCTAGCTGACTAAAAAAAACAAAATAAAAAATTATTTGGAAAGAAAGGCTAATGCAACAGTAGATCACTCTCCTAGTAGTCAACACTGTTTGCGTTCCTCTAATAGTCTGATTGACATAAGAAGAATATTGAATCAAGGTCCACATACCAAGTAGCAGAAGCTTCCGAATATGTTTTTCAGCCTTCGCTTCTTGCTCTATCCGTCTTTCGATTTCAGCAGCCTGTAGATTCACAAGAAAACAAGGTTAAACTCTTTGATGACTAAGTATCAGCTCTAATCTTATGCATATATGGAATGAACCTGTGCATTCTCGTCCGTTTCTTCGGTATGATGTCGACTTCTACTACAGAGTAAGCCCATGATATATACTCTTTTTATAATCCCAGAGAGAGCATGGAAGTCGAAAAGTATCAAGCCCCACAGCTAAAAAAAATTAAACTTCAGCTTCGTGATACAGTTGCTTTTCATAGCAGGACAGTGCTTACCTACTAATTGGAAATACTTATGAATCCCTTCTGATCATCATTCAAAATACAATGAAGTTCGCTCATCAAAAAAAAAAAAAAATAGAAGCCGTAAACAAACAATAAATTGGACTAGAGATCCAAGAAAATAAACATTAGAAAGATCAATTTAACTTCGAATCTACAGAACCTAACCGATTTCTTCAGGAAAAGTTCTAATGAAGTTAGTTGGTCAATCTCAATAACAGAAGATAAGATTCCAACACTGCCCGAAAGGAAACCAAGTAGCAACTGATTGATCTACGAAACCCTAATCATGAAGGACACAAATCGAAAACAACACGACAGGACAAGATCTGAGTTTAAGAAAAAAAAAGAAAGACAAAGCTTGCAGAAAACCCAGAAGAGCAAATTCGAAGGGAAATTGAAAATTAATAAAAAAGTCACCTGAAGAAAACAAAACAAGAGCTGAGGAGTACGAAACAAAACCTGAGAAGAGAGAGCAGAGTACTTGTGCTTTCTCCTGTTTCTATTATTTCTTTACCCTTCTTTCCGCTTTAACGTTCCTCTCTTATTTTGGATAGTATTGTATTGTATACACACTCATATCTCGATGCGTAAACGCAAATAACAAATTAATTTGATTTATTTATAAAAAAAGAGGTCAAAGCAAGAAAAATGTTAAGCTAAGGACAGACGAAATTGCGCCGAAAGGTCTTATTTTGGTCAATGTTGGAAAGATGTGTCTCGTCGAGATAAGAAGCGGTACCTATGGCTTTACAATAACAATTTGGAAGAAAATTCCATAAAAATAATAAATAAATAAATAAATAATAAAGCATTTTAGACGAGCACCGGTAACTCTAACTATTAAGTAAAAAGACAGATATGTAATAGAAAAGATTTACGCAAGGTATTTAGAGCACCCCTATCAATGAATGTCTCTTTAGATTCATTTTTTCAATTTTTTATTATTAATTTTTTAAAAAAAAAAATTAGACCAATCACGGGGACCACGTGTCGTGGGATTCGTGCTACAGTGATAAACTTTATGAGAGAAGAATTCAGCCGAGAAAGCTTTAGGAGAGAGATGTTCATAGAGTTTTATTGTTTTATTATTATTTTTCTTGATTTCCGTGTAAACTCCCCCCCCCCATAAATCCTCAATGGGGGTGTTCTTAGAGTCAAACTATACTCTTTAAATTAACTAATCATTTGTTCAAAAAAAAAAAAAAAGAACTACCTAATGTAAGTGGATGTCTTTTTTGTCGACGATCACTATGGATGCAAAGAATGCAGTTTGTAATTTTTCTCACATTATAAATTTACTGTTATAGGTTATTTTGTATTGAAGCCAGAAAACTGAATTGATATAAAAAATGATGTTAATGAAACTAAATGAACGGATCGAAAGACGAGATGAAATGTTTTCTAAAAACAGACTATGGAATCGAGACAAATCTTTTTCCTTAACTCTTATGTTTGCTTCGTAAATGCGACGGATCAAGCCAATAGGAGTCTCATATGCTCTCAAATTATTCTATGAGCAACTTATTCTTTTTAATAAGAGGTTCAATTGTAGTATTTAGGGATCAAATTCACAGAAAGCGTGGACACACACTAAATTTATAAATATGCAGATTAAGCTAGACAAATAATTAAATTACAGTAAATGAAAAAGAAGTTGATTGATTGAAGTTGTACATGATATGAGAAAATAGCAAGATTTAGGGTTTTCGGTACTCGGGATTCTAGAGATATAGAAGCTAAAGTTATGTGTGTGATATTTTTGAACTCGAACTCTAGTGTATAGATTATCTAAGTCCGATATTCAATTTTATGCAGGAGTATCCTGATCCCACGGAAGTGGTCCAGACTAGTCACGTGTTGCCACGTATCGGTCTCATGTCCCTGGCGATGTCAAAATGTTAATTTCCTAGTAGCCGAGACTCAAACCCTAGTGGCTTCACCGTATTGGACTTTTTCCCTCAAGTTAATCACCACCAGGCCATAAGCCCTGGTTCAACTATTGCTTTTGAACACGGAATGAGTCATCGATCGATGGTTATTATTCATGTCAATTGATGACTACCTTAAATCTAAGTTTGTTGTCTTATTCGGTTTGTTTGCTAACTTCCTAGACCAGCTGACCGCATGTAACTAGTAACCTAGCTCAAAAGAATCAATTCAGGTGACGACCTACTATCGTAGTTGTCTACAATCCTAATATCAAGGTTCTAGTTAGCTACTCTAAAACACAAGCATTAATGGCAATTCCATTGATGGATATCTCTAAGACCTTAGCTGTAATGCCCAATCCCGCGGTTCAAGACCTGCTTGGACACACAGCCTTACACTTAGACCATGTCATGTATATGATTCATTTCTAGTCTTATTTATTCTACTAAGTCCTTTCCATTGTAAATGTGTTACATAAGCAATACAAACAACTTGTATAAAACAGGGTGCAAATCAATATTGTGTTAATAATAAAATGATATTCGTTATATAGCATCGGTTTGCATTATAAGCTATCATAAGTTCATTCGTAAGTCGATCTACCCAAACACCACAAAAATTTTCGCTGATTGTGTCTTCACGGTTCCATGACTTTATGACTCAGACTCAGTTCCTGAAACCATACATATCGACCAATATCAATCCATATAAAATCTGATATCCTAACAAGTATATCTAGCAATGCATGGTTCGGCTCCCTGCTCTAATTCTATAAACTTCATGCCTACATTCACCCTTCACATAGAACATGATCGGATTGCCCATGATCCGATCTGACCACACGGTTTGGCTCTAGGATCGACCAGCTCCAATCTAAGTCTGGTCAAAGGCCATGGACTTCTTACCTGCACCGGCCCCATGTCTAGGTTCATAATTTCATGTGTAACATAACCCACCTGGTCCAACCGATCCATTCTGCGGTCAATCGAACCATTTTTATAATTGGGCCTTGTTCATTCTACTTTGGCCGTTTGGCCTTCCCCCAATATTCAACCCAAGCCCAATAACACACTGTTTTACCCTTTTATAAAAAGGCATCCGATCCATAGCTATGACGAAACAGACCATCCGCCCATCCACCCATTAACCTTGATTCATTGTTGGTTGCACTCAGACATGACCTAGGCTCTTTACCAAGCCAATTCCGACACCAATACACACTATTCCTCACAAAAATATAGAAAAGGAGAAGAAGAAGTAATTAAAACAGAAAAGGGAGAGATAGAATGTAACCAATATAAAACCAACCTGAAGACCTGATCAAATTGATCGATGGTTCTGTGGCCACACCCATTACCATGTACGTGTGCTATTAGGTCTTAGAGCCTATTTCCAACTCTTTCTCTTTGCCTCTGGTATCCATTCCAATCGTCCTTGTGTATTCACAATCGATCATAACCTTGTCGTCGCTTAACCAACACAATATCGGCCTTAGAATGGTCTACCAAACTTACTCTCTCTTTCTTTCTCTCTCACGATTTTTCTGATTATTTTCCTTAAAGGAGTTTATGCCCAAAATGAACTAGAGGGTCAGATGTATATAAGGAGAGGCTGGCCAACTACCTTGGGGAATGGTTGCCTTTAATGGGCGTATGGGTGTAACTTGGTGGGAGAATAGGTACAACATGTACCAATCCCATCCATTCACCAATAACTGCCCATAAGCAGTCCATACATGAGCATGGACCCATTGCTCAAGTCCCTGGGCTGGCCCCATAGTCCTATTGGCCCATCGGCCCCATGGGTTGAACTTATGACCCACCCATGGCCTAACCTTGGCCTAGACCAGACCCAACTGCCCGAGACCCGAAAACTCCGTCCAGCTGAGATGAGCTGATCCCCGGATGGTCCAATCGACTGAGCTAATAGTCCAACTCGATCACACTGACTTTACTCAGTGTGAGCTGGACAGAGCTTGATCGCACTTAGATCATTTGGTCAAGCTACGCGATCGAATCGACCAGCTACCATATTACTCGTTCAGCTTGTCCATCCTTGTTTCCTTTATTTTTTGGGTAAGTCGTATCATAATAATGCACTCAATCTTCTTTTTAGGCCATGGCACGCTTTCCTTGAGGTCATATGACTGGCTGGTTCGTTTCTTCGAACCATGGCACGTCCCATCGACCTTATCCAGGTATGGGGGTATTACATCAGCAATTCTATAGTTTTGGTTAATCCTTCATAACGCTAGTTAACCCTAAACCTAACAAAGAGAACTACTCAAACATGATCAAGCAAAGCATGATAATAAACTAAATAGAAATCATAAAATTGGATAAGAAATAAGAAAAAATGGAGTTCCAATACAAATCTCTGAAGGGTCTTAGATCTTCTCTCCAAACTAAAATAAAATGCTTCTAAGTATGAAAACTGGTTTGTGTGGTGTTTTGTTTCCTAAACAATGGAAAAACACTAATACTAGGTATAAAGTCGGTCATGGGCAATCTTGTAAATATATGGAACTTATGGGCTTTTAGTCGGTCACCAACAAGTCGGCACGACTCACGCCTCGCTGTCTATTAATGAAAACAGAGTGTTGTCGATCAAAACTCTTTGTAAATATCGACTGATGCTTCTGATTCTTCAGCAGTTACAAGTTTTTCTAAACACAGATAATAGTTCCTATAAAGCACATATACTATGGGTAAAAATGCGTAAAATTCATAGTATATCAACTTCCCCATACATACTATTTCCTTGTCCTAAAGCAAAGAATGTATCTATCTGAAAAAGGTTTTAATTTGTAGGGAGTCACAAATCTTTAACTTACTACCATATCAAATAAGTGCTAACCTTATAGATACTTTATATACCATATCCCAGCTTAGCAACCAAATACATTCTACAAGAAACTTACTAATACTGTCTGACTCGCCCCTCTACTAACCTCATTTCTTACATAAATAAAAAGGTGCAGGCCTTACCTTGGAAGTATCGATCAAAGGACATGTGAACTCTTACTCACGCAAGTATCTGAACAAACATGCAGTCTTCTCTTATCCCTTTCTTCCCTCTTTCTCTCTTCTCTGGATCTTTATTTCCTTTTTTTTATAAATCCAAAGACTAAATGATGCTGCTACAATCCATCTTGTTCATCTTCTTTTTCTTTATTTTGACCAAGTGTAGGCGGATAGCGGGGTCACCAGTAATGTATCTACTCCTCACTTCCACAATGTGTGATCATTTCTTTAAATTAGAATAGTGGGATCATCGGTAATGTACCTTATAGATGCCAAAGAGAGACATAGAAGGGAACCAGAAACACACAGACTTTTATCTTGCAGACTTTCAAGAGACATCCAATCCAATGTATACCAAGCTCGAAGACAAGAAAATAAAGTAAAATTAGGTTGGAGGTTAGCTTTTGTTCCTTCAAACATTCTTAGCAAGTGTGGATATGAGACACAGATGATCCACTTCGGTATCTCTCACTACAAGACAACTTCGAATTTACTTGGGGATTTTACTAGGAAACAATTTCCTCGTAA